TTTTAAATAAGACATAAAACTCTTAAAGAAATATGCTGTAGCTATATATAAGGTCCTATAAAAAATAACAAATAACTATAGCGCTAGACAACCTTTACAAGCTAATTCTACAGCTAAATTATAAAGGCTAGGCAATAAAAAAGAGCAGGTGATTATTAAGACTATACTTAAGCTATATGCGCAAGGAATTTCCCCTTAGATAGCATTTATAGCTAATATAGCTAATTCTTTGCGCGCTAAGCGTAATCTAGGCCATGTTTGCATAAACTAGCCTAGTACATTTGTAAAGTGTTATTTAGAGCTTAAAGTAAAGTTTTAAGCGCAAGTATAGTTAAGAGATATCTAGCTAATTATAAACCCTATCTTGCTAAACTTGTACGTGTTATTATCTTAGATGCTATACTTAGCTTTAATATTCTCTATAAGGCTAAAGCTGCCCTAAATTACCCTAGGACTCTTGCAGAGGGCTCTTTTATAGTTGTACTTACGCTTAAATGTTACTTTAAGCTCTAAATAACGCTTCACAAACGTAATAGGCTAGTTTATGCAAACATAGCCTAGATTACGCTTAGCGCGCAAAGAATTAGCTATATTAGCCACAAATGCTATCTAAGGGGAAATTCCTTGCGCATATAGCTTAAGTATAGTCTTAACAATTACCTGCTCTTTTTTATTGCCTAGCCTTTGTAATTTAGCTGTAGAATTAGCTTGTAAAGGTTGTCTAGCGCTGTAGTTATTTATTATCTTTTATAAGACCTTACACATAGCTATAGCACATTTTTTTAAGAGTTTTATGTCTTATTTAAAAGCTTAGAGCGTAAGCTGTATCTAACATTCTTTTAGCGCGTCTAAGTAGTGTTGTGGGGAATGCATTAGTGTAGGAAGGGTGGTTTAGTAGGGTCTTAGCAAAAGTGAGCAACTCGGGTGTGTGAGCAACTCGCCCATGAAGTACGTTATAGTAACTAAAAGTGTTTAAAGGGGAATTAGTCTATGTTTTCTTTAAGTTTGTATTAAAGCTTATATAAGAAGAAAAGTAAGTCTTTTTATTTTCTATTAAACAGCAAGGGATTAAAGAGTTAGTTAGATTTTATTACTAAGTTAGAAAAGTTACAGGTTATAAGCAGTGTTAGGCAGGAGGGAGTTAAGCCATCTCTAGACTTCTAGGTAGGCTTTAAGGCTAGTAAGTTCTTAGTTCTTACTACTATAATAAAAGTTAAAGCAGAAACAGACTGCTTAATAACATAAAGCTGTTCTTTAAAGTCTTTTTAAAGAGCTTTAAAGCTTATAATGTAGCAGCTTTTTTATAAAGTAAGTGCTTTTTAAAAGGCTTTTTAGCTTACTTTAATAGCTTAGAGTTGTGTAAGTACTAAGCTTATTAAATTAAATTTAAAGGCTATTTTTAGCTAAGGTTTTAATATAACATAATGTTATAATTATGTATAAGTAAGGTTATAAAGCTTTACAGAGGTCTAGTTTAATTACTATGTAAGGTATTATAGTAGGTACAAGACGTTATGTAAGAAATAAGAAGGTTTAAGAGAAAATTAGTAATTAAATACTTAGCTTAAAAGTCTAAGCACTTTAAGTATAAATTAAGCCTGTTCTAGGTTTAGTTAGTGTTAAAGCAGTTTATGCTTAAGTTTATGTCTATGTTGTGTTGTGTTTGTGTTAGACGTGCACTAATAATACTCTAGTACGCATCTAATACGGTTATGTCTGGGATCCGGGGAGGATACCGTGACACTAACATACCTAAGGAGTTAGCAGAGCTTCCTTGTTTTGCTAGAATAGCCTTAAAAGTCTTTCTAACGCTATTGCATAGCTTCTTATATGCGTTAATAGAATAATTGCTTATGTTTTTTAAGAACAAGTGTTTTTTCTTAGGGAGAAATCTCTAAGCGTACAGATTGTCTAGGCTTAGAAGGAGACAAACCTAAGCTAGCTCTACAACAATACTAAGTCTACTTTCTAGGACTTATTAGCTTCCCTAAATACAGGAACTAGTTTGTATTATGTATATGTGTTAACAATTCCTCACAGCACTTTGTTCTTCACTCTTGTTGTTCTATATTGCTTACGCGAATTAGAGCTATAGATTAATGGGGAATGTGGATTCCTAGAGACAATTCGCACTATTTCCTCCTTAAAATCTGCTCCATCTCTCTGTAGTTGTTTAGGGTACTAAAATAGCCTCTTGCTATTGTTAGGAATGTTTAAGCGCTTAGCTGTGACTAGCTGTAAGATGTCTATATATAGAATAGGACTAGTTTTAGTTATTACCTCTAAGCTAGAAAATAGAGGCTCCTATTACACTAAAAGGAGGTTAGATGTAAATTAGTGATGTTATCTAAGATTCTAACGTTAACGTACCTAACGGGTTGGCCGGCCACACAGGTTAGCCGGCCACTTTTGCTAAGCCCCTACTAAAACTACCCTATTCTCTCGCAAAACAGCCCACTTTAGCCCTATATAAAGTAATACAACACAAGATATTATTTAAAGTCTACTTCTACTACTTGCTTACATGTACGCAAGTTATGCCTAGTCTAATTACACTGCCTGCATTGCCTTTAACTTAGCTTACCTTCTTTAGCGCGCACCTGTGTCTTTAGCTTCTTCCTATTACTACGCGCTCTAAACTCCTTTAAAGTAGTTAGATAAGCCTTATTCTTAACTATTAAGGTCTTTTTTGCTTAAATTTGCTTTCTTTTATGTAATTTATGTTGTGTAGTAGCCTTATTTACTACTTAAAGCTTTGTAATTTTATAGCCTACTTTATTATGTTAATGCTTTAGATAACTGTTGTCTACTTCCTATTACCTTACTATATTACCTTTAGCTGTTCTTATCTCTTTAAAGCTATAATAACTGCTCTAGTTAATATCTAGCTTATTATAAAGCCTAACTTGTTAAAGTTATACCTGTCTTTATTCTAGATACTGTACTTAGCTTTTATGTTAGCTACTAGGCAAAACTAGCCCTAGATAACCTCTAGATTCTTATAAAGCGCTCTCTTATAATTATACTTATAATTAAACTTTATTATAAACTTAGAGCAGTGCTTAACCTACATACTAGTCTAGTTTAAGCTAACCTGGCCTAGATTGCGCTTTGCAGGCAAGGAATTAGCTATATTAGCTACAGCTGTAAGCCTAGAGGGAAATCTGTGTGTAATAAGCTTAAGTATGTACTTAACAACTACCTTCTTTTTAAGCTTAGTTAGATTTCTTAATTTAGGCTAGCATTCTGCTTATAAAGGCTGTCTAGCGCGTTAATTGCTTAGTGTTGTGTAAGAGACATTATAGATAGCTGCAGCGCGTTGTAAGGAGAGTTTTAAGTCTTATTTAAAAGCCTAAAGAGCAAGCTGTATCTAACATTCTTTAGAAGATTTAATCTAGTGTTGTTGTTAAGGCATTATGTAGATAGGTAGAGTTTAGTGGGGGCTTGGCAAAAGTGGCCAGCCAACCTGTGTGGCCGGCCAACCTGTTAGGTACGTTACTTCATTTAGTATCTGTTAGTATTGCTGGGTAGTAGTCTCTTTAATAAGTGAGGTGAAACCTAGCCAGGCTAAGCTGCTCTAGACAGTTGCTACGCGCTGCTACCTAAGCGGCTGTTAGCATAATCCTAGTTAAATTGTTGCACAGATTTATTAACAACGCTATATATTCTAATAAAATAGACTGTTTTAGTCCCCCCTGCAGTTCCCTTTTTAAACCCCTATGCCTTACTTATTTATATAATAGAGGCTTAACTAGGCAAAAATTTTCTGTTCTTTATTTACTATTTAGTCTTAAGTTATAGACTCTCTTTTAAATATTACAAAGCAAGACACCGCACTTATGTCTTACTAATAAGCTAAGAAAGATAGAAGTGGGAAGGCTAGATTATATTAAGAGTATCTAAAGTACTAAGAGCTCTTTATAAAATTACTAGACAACAAATTATTCTTGTTTAAGCAAATTAATTCCTTATTATAGCCTAAGCTAGTCAGGTTTAGATTCTATATCTTAAACTGCGGTGACAAGCATACAGAATTGCTCACAAAAATCCTTTATACTTTACCTCTAGAAGACGTAATTAAAGCATTTAGGCATATACAACAAATTGCTACCTGTCTTGCAATTATAAAGAATCTTACGCCTGCATCTAGGAAACTTGTCACAGAAAAGTTAACAGAGACTAAAATTAAGAACATAAAAAAAGCCTACAAGAATCCTAGAGACAAGAATAACTTTATTACTATAAAAGAATTTATTGCAGCATTGCCCTCTTTAGCGCAAATATGCTCTGCTAAAGAATGCATTGCAATGCAGTTTAGAAATTCTAGAGACTTTAAAGACTACACAACTTTTGTAATAGCGCGCTGCTTTTGCCACGCATTCCACCTTACTTATAGAACTTGTTATAATTGCGTATAAAGCAGTAAGTTTTTAAATACATTAAAAACTATTTCTAGATCTTTGTAATAGAAGTTTCTTATATAGCAAAATATACATTTATTTTAATAGCTTATCTGCAACTAAATAGTTTATAACAAGAGCAAATATTGCATTAGACTTGCTTTACATTGCAAACTACAGATTTCTGTAGGTCTGCTAGCTAGTTAGAACATTCTAGGGGTTAAAAACGCCCTCTAGTGGTTAAACACAACGCTAATGTTAAAGCAAGTAATAAAATTGTGTTCTTAATTAATAATGCAAGCAGGCAGGAGAATGGGACTAGTTTTAGTTACTATCTCTAAGCTAGAAAATAAAGGCTTCTATTACGTTAGAAGGAGGTTAACTTAAGTTAGATGTAAATTTGTAACGTTATCTAAGATGTTAACGTCACTTTATTTAGTATCTGTTAGTATTGCTAGGTGGTAGTCTCTTTAATAGTGAGGTTGAAACCTGACTAGGCTAAGCTGCTCCAGACTGTCGCCACGTGCGCTGCGCTAATTAGCTACAAGCGCGCCAGCGCGACATCTTGAACAACGAACAATTGTTCTCACCTGTCCCTCCATGCCCAGCACCTTGCCCGGCTGCGATTCTGGAAGCATCTGGTACTCGCGCACTCCCCTAACGCTTAGCTCTGCCGTCATCTGCGAATGCCTTGTCCCGTCCGTCCTAAACACGCGCCCCCTACCACCTTCCCAACAGGCACCACAACCCAAGTGACGTCAGCCGCTCCGGCCTAGACTGTCGCTTACTATAGCGGGAGGTTAACAAGGGCAATAGCCCCTGACTAGGCAAGCTTAGCGTGTGGAAAACAACATATGTTGGATAAGGGCAATGTGGAGGAGAATGCTGTCTTAGTGGACACACTATCGCCCTGTCCTCTATTTATCTAACACTGGCGGCCTAAGCACAATCTAGGGAGTCTAAATTAAAGCCACAAGGTTAAACTAGTATCTGTGTATTAACTAGCAGCAATACTAAGGCTCTAACGTAATTTCTACGCTCCCTGCGCGCAATGTTAACTGTACGCTAAAACTATTTAAATTTGCAAAAACTTTCTGCCTAAGCCTTATTATAATCTAAGTAAAACATTCTACTAACACCTAACTTCTAATCCTTCTTCTTAGCAAAGTTTTCTATGTTACCTAACTAACTTATTTATTAACTTGTTGTTATCTAGATAGTTGTTAGCGTCTCTATCCTCCTTCTAGCATTGCATCTAGTGATCCAGCCTTTGTAGAGGTCTGGGTTGGGTTAGATTAGCTCTATAGAAGTTATAGAGCTTGTGTGAGCTATTCTTAAAGTTAGCTGTGTTATACTACTTTAGATTGTTGTTGTAGCTAAGCTATTTTACACAGTATTTAAGCTTTCTTCTAAAAACATAGGCCTTTAAAACTTACTTAACCTTATATTTATCTTCTTTATCCTCTTAGGTAGAATAAGCTAGGTTAGACTTAGAGCGCGCTGCTAGAGTGCATTTAAGCTAAAGCCTAGGCTATAACTTCTTATAAAAGCTTATGCTTTAGAAATTATTATTCTGCTTATTTACCTTAGCTTCTTTAGTCTTTAGAAACATAATATTGTCTATTTATCTATTAGAGTTTGTAGGTAATTACTCTCTAGATAGTTAATCTTTCTAATATGCTTTTAATTTTTATTATTAGCTTTATTACTAAAAGCCTTTTTATTATTAAGACTATTTTTTAATTTGCTATATAATAAGGACAGTAGTGTATTATCTTTACTTTTATTTTAATCTAATATAAAATCTAAGATTAGCAAGAAGCCTAAGCTAGCAGAAGATAAAGCTTTAAGTAGAGTAGGACAGGATGTTAACTTTTTCTCTTAGTTTTAAATTATATTACTTTTATTAACAAACTTATAAGTTAGATCTCCTGCCTTCTGTCTTAACAGCTGTCTTCTGCTAACGCATGTCTACTTAGATAGTCTAGGTCTCCTTTTAGCTACTAGCCTAGGCCTTTTAAAAGTACTTCTAAAATTAACATAGTAGACATCTTTAAGATAAAACTAGAGCTTTTATAATAAAGTAAATAACTCTCTATAATAAAGCTTACTTAGAGGGCATATTAGTAACTTAAAATCTTTAGAATGCTAGTTATAAATATAATTTTTTTATTTAGCTATATTAGAGAACTGCTGCATTTGTATTTTAAAGGGTAAAAACTTATTACCTAAATAGTTAGAACAGAATCCTAGAGCAGCAAGTGTTCCTCTATAGATTAGTAGGTTGCACTATGTAGGGATTGTTTTAGGCTTGTCTAAATAAGCTTAGTAATAAGCTTTTTATTCCTTTTAGTTAACAAACTATTTACTATAAAAAAAGCAAAACTCTATAAATTTATAACTATTTTTAAGCTACTTCTAATAGCAACTAAGTATGTGTTTCTACTATGTAGCAGCTAGTTAACTATTGCTTTAATTAGATGCTACATTATAACAACAGGTAGGGTTTTATACCTATGCATTTTTTGTGTAAGCCCTGTTTTTAGACAGTAGCATTTGTCTAGCTTAAAACTTAGTTAAAACGCTACTTTCTTTTTTTATAAATAAAGCTTAACTAGATCTTAGAGGACAGCCTTACCTATATAGCTATATATAGTAGCCTTAATAAACATGCTAGACGCTAGACAGTCACACACTAGCATAAGTTTACGCGCTTATTAGAATATAGTTTTGTAACACCTAGTGCATTCTTTTATATAAGTGTTAACTTTATTTGTAAGTTAAGTAAGCTATTTTTCTTAACACTTATAAAGTGCTTTTAAAATTAGCTTTTATTTCTAAGCCTATAACTTCTTACATTTATTCTTAAATAGTGTGTTGTTTAAAGAAAGATCCTTAAGTTTTACTTTAATATCTTTAAACTTAGAGCTCTGCTTAAGTTTGTGCTGCTTTTCTACTAGCAGTAACTACTATAGCTCTAGATTCTAAGTAATAAGCAAGGAATAGAAAAAGTCTATAATGTCTGTGTAATAGTCTTTATTATAGAAAAAGGTTACTTAACTATCTACTCTAGCATTATTTACTGCGTAATAATTATAATATACTGCTAGGTTATGCTGTCTACTTTGTTTTATTTTTGTGTTCTATAAATAGTTTCTGTCTGCAAACAACATAAGTTAGGTATATAGAGTACTATAGAACAGTATACATACTAGTAAGGATTAGGCCCTCTGCTCTAAAATTATGTACTGTTAGAGGTTTGTTATAGCTAGCATAAAAGCCCTATTTTTAAAGATATTAGCTAAATGCACTTATAGTCTTTATTTTTCTATTACTTCTTTTAAAAAACAGCAGGTCCTAGACACTTAGATTCTAGTAAAGTTAAATTATTTACTTATTTTTTAAAAGTTTTAGTGCTAGAACTTTATCTATTAACTTATAATCTCTAAATGCATTTCTTGTAATGCACATAGTAACTATTATAAGCATTAGATTATAAAACAGTAGGTAAGCTTTAACACTTTTATGTAACACATGCTCTAGTCTATTCTGCAATTAGCATTAGGTAGATGTGTAATAAAAATTAATTTTACCTTTTATTTAGAGTAAATGTTATGCACTTTATGTCTTACTAAAGTTGTACAGCAAATTCTGCGTTGCTGCACTTATTATAAAAGATAGTAAAAATTATGTTCTAACTTATTATTATTAGTTTATGTAGGTTACTTTAAAATAAACTTACCTAAAAACATAAGCCCCTACTAGATCTAAGGCAGCATGTAGATTCTATAAATTTGCTAATTCTTAAAGTACTAAAAACATAGGCTATAATAAGAGCTTATATCTTAACCCTACGCTGCAGCTTTAGAAGCATAAACTAATTATTCCCTTACTACTGTGTTCCTAGGTAAAAAAAATAGATTTATAAGCTATATTGCTGCAGTCACTTTTTATAGAGCAGCTTAAGGATATTATAAAGCTTGTACTTAATAAACTGTCTTATAGAATTAGTACTAATGCTATAAACGCCTAGCTAGCCGCAGCAGACTTACATTTAAGGTGGACAGTGTTACATTTAGACTTATTACCTTTACTAGCTTTATTTTCTCTCTATCTTTATTCCTCTTCTTACTTTTCTGTTCCTCCTCTATCCTAGCTTACCTTTAGCTAGTAGTAAAGTCTTTGTAGTACTAGACTACAGTCTACAAGCCTAGCTTTTTAACACTATACCCACCTTTAATTCTAAGTGCAATAGACATAACATAGTCCTTAAATGTTTTAATATTGTCTAGACTAACTTCTAGATTTAACTTCTTATATCTTTTATTAAATTTATGTTAGCAAAGTGTATTAGGCTTAATAATACTATTATAAACTTACTAATTCTATAGCGCTAATGTGTGCTTATAGTTTTTCTTTATTTTTAGCTAAAGTTCTTTTAGAACCTGTTTTCTGTTAATAATGTTTTTCTTTTTTTTTATAGCTACATTCTAACTAGCACGCTTAAAGAAGGCTTCTAGCAAAATCTTCTATAGCATTTTAACTATATAAAAAGCTGCAGTGTAAAAAATAGAACAAAAAATAGCATAAAGTTCTAAAACTAATAGTAATTCTGCTAAGAAAATAATAGTGTTGTAGTAATAGCTAAAGTAGTTAGGTAAGCTTAACCTAGCTGCATAATAGTACCTTTATACTGCAAAGGCATATCACAGGCCACTTTAGCAAGAAGGGATGGCGCTGTGTTGTGGGAAACTAGAGGGCGCATAGCAAGGGGGCCTATTTTGTCCCTAGTCCTTAGGGGACAATTCTGTCCCCCTTCTAAAACTCGCCCTAAAGCCTAAACCTAGCCTACAAGCATCCTTCTTATTTAGACTTAACAAAATTATAAGAGTCTACCTAACTTATTAAATTAGTATAATTAGCTATTAGTAGAGCGCAGGGCAACGTGACTAAGCAGCAGGTGAGCAGCCTAAGAGGTGGGTGAGCTGAGGGTGATAAGCGCCTGAGTAAAGCAGCACCGCCTACTAACTTTAGTAGGAAAGAGAGCGCTGGAGAAATTTAACTGTCTACCTTATTAAGCTAAGCACTACTAGTAAAAAGTAACTTATAATTAACATTATGTTACTTTATAAATTATATAAAAAAAAATTACTAAAATAAGGTAAATTAATAGTAAAAATAACTTAGTAAATATATATATATAAAGAAAACACTTAATTAGGCTTTTTAATTATTAGTCCTAACTAACTGCCTCTCTGTCTAGATAGAAGCATCTGTAGACTAGCTAGATTTTATGCATAAAGATGCTCTAAACTAACTAAACTAACAACACCTTTATATAAAGCTTATTTTTTTTATTTTTTTTATTATACACACTTATTTTTCTTATTATAAGATTAGAAAAAAAGAATATATAAAAAAGACAGTTTATTTATCTAGTATACAGAAAAAGAAAAGCTACTAGCCCCTCTTAGCATACATGACCACCTTAACGTGGTTCTAAACCTAGTTTATATCTAACCGCGGTTTTGTGGTATTAAGTCTAAACTAGGTTAGTCTATTAGCTTAATGTGGTTTAACTGTAAAACGCATTAATAGCTTAGCAGATCTACATGTTAGATGCAGAGATACAGCTCTTAATGCCTATAGGCAACAACAAACTAGGAAACGCCTCTTTCTTATATCACAGGCAGACTATTATACTTTAGGCAGCAGTTACTACTAATTAGTTATCACGTCTATAGATTTAATGTATTTATATAGCTATTAGGACTTTAATGTAGAATGTAAGTTACTTTAAGCACTTTCTTTAAAACATAATTTAACACTACAGCTCTTAAAACCTTTGCTTTTATTTATTTTAGCTATTTAGTTATCTAAAATTGTTATACATCTTAATCCTACACCTTTCTAAATGTCGCCTATACTG